AGTATACACAAGAAACTGGTGATTGAGGGGAAAAAAAATAAATTGGTGATTGTGGATATAGGGAGAAATTGTGAAAAACAAGAGGAAAAACTTACTTTTCAATACAGACCCCTCTGCACTTTGACCATTAGAATGTACTTATTTTCAAAAAAGGTATTAACTAGTCAAAAAGAAAGGGGGGGTATTAACTAGTCAAAGCAGTCCATGTGGGATGGACTAAACATTAGGCAGTTTAAAGGACAGATGTACCAAATGGCAAAGGCTCTAACCTGATCACCTAAAAAAGTAAACCCATTGGTAGCCACAAGGAAGATACCAGTATCTGATATGTTATGTTCCAAGTGAAAGTGTATCTTGCAGATAAACATGTCTTCAAATATTTGTTTAGGGCTGCTTTCTGGCCCACCATCTTTCACATAGGCACAGCAGTTTAATTTTTGTCATGCTTCTCAAGAGTATGCATGCAGTTACGCATTCTCACAGGAGCAAGCTTGGGCACAGGTGAAGCAATTAAAAAGCTTCCCTATTCTAGTGGGGGCAATTCCTGCAATTCTACTTAAGAATCCTGGCTGGCACTTGTAGTGAGGAGATTAAATTATATGATGGCTTTTTTGGTAACTGCATAGTAGAAAGCCTGTTACAAAAAAAAACAAAAACAAAAACAAACGAAAAATCTTACCAATCATGCCTTTCACTATATAGCAGCAGTGTTCCACTAACCATAAGTAGCTATTGAGCACTTGGAATGTGGGTATTCCAAATTGAGATGTGCTATAAGTACAATGGATTTTGAAGCCTTACCCTGAAAAAAGGAATATAAAATATCTTGACAATAATTTTTAATGCATATGTGTTGAAATGATAGTATTTTGGATATATGGAGTTAAATATAGAAAAATTTCACCTGTTTCTTTTTAGTTTTTTAATGGGGCTATTAAGGATATTTAAAATTACATACATAGCTCATATTTCTAGGGGGAGAGTCTTACTAGAGTATTCTTAACAAAAACTCATGACCAGTTGGACATCCACATGTAATAAAATGAATCTAGACACAGACCATATGCTCTCTACAAAAGTGAGCTCAAAATGGATCACAGACCTAAATGTAAAAGCAAAACTTATTATAAAACTCCTAGAAGATAACGCAGGAGAAAATCTAGATGACGCTGGGTTTGGCAGTGACTTTTTAGATAAAATACTGAAAGCACGATCCGTGAGAGAGAGAATTAAGTTGGACTTCATTAAAATTAAAAACTTCTCTGTAGAAGACATTGTCAAGAAAACGAGAAGATGAGCCAGCCACAGACCAGGCAAAAATATCTGTAAAACATACCTGACAAATCAGTTACCCATAATATACACAAAATTCTTAAAAACAATAAAATGAACAACCCAATTAGAAAAAGGGACAAAAGACCTAAACAGACACCTCACCAAAGACATACACTGGATGAATAAACACATGAAAAGATGTTCAGCATAATGTCGTAAGCAAAATGGAAATTAAAACAAGATATCACTACTAGTACACCTATTAGAATGGCTAAAATCCCAAACACTTGACACCACCAGATGCTGGCAAGTATGCACAGCAACAGGAACTCATTCGTTGCTATAGGAATTCAAATAGTACAGCCACTTTGGAAGACAGTTTGGCAGTTTCTTACAAAACTAAACATACTATTACTGTATGATCCAGCAACTGCACTCCTTGGTTGGATATTTATCCAAATGAACTGAAAACGTCCACTTAAAAACCTGTCCGCATATCTTTATAGCAGCCTTATTCATAATTGCCAAAATTTGGGAGTAATGAAGAGGTCCTTCAGTAGATGAATGGATAAACAAACTTACATCCAGACAACGTAAAATTCAGCACTAAAATGAAGTGAGCTATCAAGCCATAAACATGGAGAAACTTTACGTGCATATTACTACTAAGTGAAAGAAGTCAAGTTGAAAAGGCTACATACCGTACAATTCTAACTACATGACGTTCTGGAAAAGGCAAAACTATGGAGACAATAAAAAGATCAGTGGTTGCCAGGGATGCGGGAGAGGGAAAATGAAGAGGCGGAGAACAGAGGATTTTCAAGGCAGGAGAACTATTCCGTATTATAAATGGTGGATACATGTCATTGTAGATTTGTCCAAACTCACAGAATGTACACTGAAATTAAACTTTAACGTAAACTATGGGCTTTGGGCAATAATGTTGTGTCAATGTATGTTCATCAATTGTAACTTGTGTCCTACTCTGGTGGGGGATGTTGATTGTGGGGGAAGCTGGGCCAGGGGTGTGCAGGCCGAGAGTATATGGGAACTCCATACTTTCTGCTCCATTTTGCTATGAACCCAAAACTGCACTAAAAAAATATTTTAAAAAATGACGACTCAGTGTTCAAGCATTTTTATTAAATCAGATAAGGGATTTCCACACTGTTGCACATACCAGCTTGGACACAATTTTAAGGGCATATCACTTGTTTATAAAGATATAGATGAGCAGTAGGTTGGCGAGTCTAACAAGCCATGTTTAGCCAACTGAAATTTCAAGAACATTCAAAGAGGAAACACAGTAAAAGTCATGCAAGTTCTAGAACAGTGAGTCATGATAGAGCTCACTTCTTTTATCCTTTACCTTCAAAATGCACTTGATATCTATAACCAGAAAAAATCTGAAGTCCAGCAGGTTGTTGCTAGTCAGATACACATTTCATTCAGGAATATTAAGCCTCTTACCACCTAGTGGCTTTTTGGATTAGAAATAACTGAATCCTCACCATGGAAAAGAGGTTTTTGAAGAGATGTACTGCTGCAAATGGATGCCCATTATTCATATTATGTCTTGAAGTTACTGAGCTTTCATTAAAGTATGATAAAGCGTGATACCCAAACCAGGGATCCCAGCTATGACCTTTTCACTCAGCTACACTAAATACCAGTTCAAGAGAAAACACTGTGAAGACTAAACAGACTGCGAGCAGTGAAGCAGTTCAGTGAGGCTGTAATCATCTAGATCGAGGTTAACTTAGGCAGGTGACGCTAAGTTTAAGAACCTTAAGAGACCCTATAGACTTTTTCTTAGGTGACGATTTCTTAGGGTGAACTGCCCTATGACAAACAGCTGATTATCAGGTTTATAATGATGGCTGACCAGAAAATAAAGTTTTACTCATGTAGCTTCAAACTTACTTGTTTACATTTATATTTAACTGAAAACCACCACATACTAATGGGTAGGTAGACATGTTCAAAGATCCTTTTGCAAGCCTCGCTTCCCTACACTTTTCACTCCACCTCCCCCTCCCCCCGAGCCTCCTAGGCAAGTTTCCCCTGATTTAAGCTAAAAGGTCAATTCTGGATTCAAACTTTTATGAACTAAGTTTACAGAAGAGAACATACAAATAAGGGGATAAAGTTAAATTCATTTGTCAACGGCAAACGTTATAAATGTATACTACTATCCCGCTAAACAGAAGACCTGGAGAAACCACAAATATAACGAGATACTACATTAGGTTTAAAAACAAAGAATCTTGAAGGAAGTAATTTTATCTTATAGTGGTTGAATTCACCCACCAAATGCTTAATGACCATAAAATGTTTCTGCAACTAAAACTAAAAGAGAATTATAGGGAGCTGGGAATACATGTTAGATACTAACGATCTTCAAGCTTTGAAGATGTCATTGCATGAAGAAAATTATGGGAAACACTGTTCCCGATAATTACGTACACCCTTAGTGTAACATATGGAGATCACTGTCTCCGATATAGACACTGTGGTAGGCAAAAACTACCTTGTTCTTTATACATTATGGAAGACACTGCTCCCGATAATGTGAGTTAGGTTTGTGACAAAGGTACTGGAAATTTTGCAAAATTCGAATTAAAGTTACACCTTGGATAAACTGAGCTGTAAAATTTCACACATATGAGTACTAACAAGCCTTTAAGTGACATTAATTTATAACTTGGTTACAATTCCTTCCCTTAGGAGAACTGCTATTTTTATCTGGTTGGCTAAACAGAAGTCTAACTTGATTAGCAACCCCCAATTAAATGGAATTCTTTACCGATATTTAGCTTTAAAATTTTATTTGGCTTGTGGCTGTTTTCTAAAACCCACGAGTGTTGGCCATAAATGCAAAACTTCCAGTATCTGTTGGGTTTTATTAGCAGATGCTGCTTTTATTAAAAAAAAACGACAGTATAACTGTCATAATTATGGAAGGCACTGCTTCCGATAATTATCTTCTATAAAAAAAAACACCATTTATAGTGAACTCTGTCACTGATAAATAAACAATAAATATCTCAGTGCCAAAATGATAGAAAGCTTTTCCAAAAAATTAACACTTTGGCCAAAATTTGGCAGTGTGTTCTTTAACGTCTGACAAACTGAGTTTGAAATTAAACACTTGAAGCTGGTTCTCTTTCAGAATACTTTGGGAAACACAAAAACGACAAAAAACTAATGAACAAAGGCTTACGGGGGAGGGGCGGATGAAAAGAAAATACAGGTCTTTGGCTTCTGGTCTCCTCTTTTCATAAATAATCTTGAGGTTAACACATTAAGGCCTTACTCCTGTGATAAACAGTTGAACCTCATTTTATCCAACTGAAGGACCTCTGCTTCAGACCTCATGGGCAAGAAAACAAGTCCCATCTCTTCTGAAAGTTAACTGTTTCATTCAAGGATGTGGAAACCAGCTAAATCCTTAGAGAAGGCATATATCTCATTTGGAGAATGAGGTCTTACAACCTGGTATCTCCTATCCAGCATCAAATGAAGGCAGAGGATCACACCAAGCCACCGCATTCAGCCTTCAGCAGATACCACCCTCCTCCTCCCCCTTAGAAGATACCAGTTCATGTCCTTAGGATTTAGAGCAATAATTCATGTAACTGGTTCTGACTTTTTCATAACTGTAACAAGAAAGAGGCAGTTACCAAACAAAGCATTTAAAATTTTAGAGATGATCAGAGAAAAGATTCTATCATGAACATTTTTAAGTCGTTATTCACTTTAACTTGAAGTGCAGGTACCTACCCTGTATTAAAAGCCGCTGCCTAAAGATATCTAGGAGTACCAAGATGGTTGGGTAGAATTTTAACAATATTAGGTTTTGTAGCCCTACTAAAAATTTAGCACAACCAGCACAAGTCTAGAAATCACACTACCCTGATGTTCTTATAGAAGTTACGACCATTACATTTAAAGCTCATTGTCAATGTCCCATATGTCACCAGAAAGGGCATTTGCAGCTCCTTGAATAGTCCAAGTTGCTAGAGCCAACTGGTTTCTCAGCAGTGTTTCATTAAAAGCACTGTTATTTTTCTGACGCAGCTTCAAATGCTCTAGTAAAGCTGACAGAGTGTGAGAGCCAGAGCCCCAGAAGATGTGTCGGAAAGGAGAATCTCTCGGAGATACGTAGGGTGAGAGGAAGTGATATTCCACCTATGGAAACAAAAACATACAAGAGAACTTACACAGTGCTGGGACTTTTGCTGTGAGGGGAGGACCTGATGTAGTAAAACAACTGTCATTCTCTCACTTTAAATGTAAAAAATCCCCAAATTTAAGAATGTGGAGAACCAGGCTACTAATCTTCTAACAATAAAATTATAAAGTAAGCTGTCAATTCATTTGTAAAAGTGAACTCTAATTGTATTGGTTTTTTTTAGTTACAGAGCATACATATGGAAGATTTACAAGTTCCCACTGTACTCAAGTCTCCTGCCTCTTCCAAGCAGATTAAGATAAAAGCAGTTAAGGGCTGGATTAGAGAACAGGAATACAGAGAAAATGACAGCTAAAAATCATTAATGATCCGTTTCTAAAAAGGTTAATACTAGGTCAAATGCCTTTTGTATTTCCAGTTTAGGTATGTCAGTTCTAGGTCTTGCTAATAAGAGTTAAAAATCTGTGCTCAATTCTAAAGCAGCAAAGGATTCTAAGGTCCTGGAATTACTACTCTACTTTTTAGAAATGCAAGATTTACCAATGAAAAATCAACATACTTTAGTTCTCCCTTTTTTAGACATTTACTTACTTTCATGATACGGTCATTGATCTCCCTCATGATATATCTGTTTGTTCTCTCTGCGTTCTTATAATCTGTTGTTAGTCTGGAGGTGGCTCGGAAAAAGTCTCCACGAGCAGAATACAGCCATTGTAGATTCAGACCCATCTCCTGAAGCAGAAGGACATGAAACTTCCTATGAGATATTTATTCTAAGGATATTATTCTACCCACATTTCTAATTTAGTGGTAGCAACTGAGACGGTTCTGATAAAAGGGGGTGACTCGCGGGCAGAGAATGCTAGACCGAGCAGAGAATGCTAGACTTAGGCACCTTGCCCAGGAGGTCCCAGACTCTATGAACTAGAGTAATACACTTGTATCTGAGCCCAGCAGATGGCACAGTTATCCATTCTTAGTCTCCCAAGGAAGCCGTCCTCATCAAGAAATTTAACATAATTTACTTAATATATAATCCTGTGCAGTATATTGTTTCCAGGCCAATTTGCTGATGGGGGAAAATCTTAACCATTTTGGTTCAGTGAACTTCACAATCTAGTGATTTTTCTCATAAGTCCCATTTTCTGATCAGTTATAGTATCAAGTTTCAAGAAAGCCATAATCATTAAGACTTATCAGTGATTTACTTCATTTAAGGGATCTGTTAAATTGACTTCTAGTACCATAAAACCAGTTGGAAACCACAGATTACTATTAATTTGATTTTATCAAGCATTTGAATACTAGGAACACAGAATCAACACTAAGTAAGACTGTAATTACTGGCTATGTTCTCTCTCCATCTGTGACATCCCTGAAAGGCATATATGCTCTATGGCCCAAACTCATAGGTCCAGAGTCATGGTTGAGATCTTTATATTCTCTGGGTCCTCTTTACAGGTTGCTTGGAATTACGTAAACATAACACACCTTAGGCTAATTAGATTCTGAAATACTTACTGTGGTATATCCTAGATTTATAACCCACAGCCTCTCAACTTCCCTTTCAAATGAGTTACAAATTCTACGAAAACTTATACCATTAGTTCACTTTAAAATGTACTTCAGCTACCAACCCTGTCCCTCCTCAGGAACAGCTAAATTAAACATCATTCTTCAAACTGTTGGATATTTCAGCACTAAGAACCTGATTTTAATTAGCGCTCACCTTTATGTCTGCTCTGAATCGGTTCATATCCTTCACAAATGCAAGTATTTTGTCATTATACATCTCATAGTTCAGGTTCAATTCAAGATCATAAGTAAGTTTCATTATAAGCTGACCAGCTACTTCTGCTGCTCCAAGTGCCATTTCATTCAACTGAGGAATTTTCTGTTTCAGTTTCTCATAGATATCCATGGTAGTACCCAAATAAGGATAATCTGTATTCTGAAAAACAAAGCTAGGTGAATGTACTCACAGGTGGATCATAAGAGTAGGAGCCACACATTCATTTTACTTTCAAGGTAATAGTAGTTGGAACTCTTCCCTTGCTTCTAACGTATTCCTACTCCAATTTTATCTCCCATCCACTACACTGGAACCACTTTTGCTGCTTCCTATGAACCTAACCTACTCCTAGAATGACTGCTTTCTTCTAGGTCCTATAGAATCCCTGGTTCTATTGCATCACATACCCTAAAGAGATGTCTAGCCAAATTTCTTGAGGTTGTATCCTTATTTTCCTCTCTGGGAAGTCTGGCTCATTAAATAAAGAGGACAGCATGCGTGAAGTGTATTTTTGATATAAAGTGTCACACTTAGACTAAAATTGACCTTCTTTCTAATGATTCAGCATTCAATCCATTCATACAAGTTACCTTTCTAATAAGAAGTTGTCTCTACCTTCATTAGACAATTTAAGTAACTATTTCTTCAACTCTATTTTCTTTACTTTCAGACTATATAGTTCTGTATAACCTGCTAGGTTTTTGACATCTAAGAAGTAAGTTTTTTTTTAAAACCTTCTGGAGGTCAACAGAAATCATCCATAAATCTCAACCCTAGGACCAGACATTCAGTTCTTCCACTAAACAGATATTGTGACCAGCTATTTCAATGCCATCCACACTGCTGTTCTAGCAGAAGGTCAAGAGAGTTCCAGTTTTGTTAATCTCCAAATCCAGATCTTACATCACTCCCTTGCTTCAGACCTTTCCCCTCCTAGTCCCAGGTCAAAACATCCAGTGATAAAAAGTCACGTGAGGACTTGGCCTCCGTGAGATCAATAATTTGATGCAAAAGTTAACACCTTCCACCCTGACCTCCTATACTAAAACTCTAGGATCTCTTCATCCCTTGGAGAGCCCACTACAGGGCTGGCTTTCCAACTTTAGCACTTCCGCACAGAGGCCTTCATCCTTCTGTTTACTCAGAGCAGCCTTCAGGGCCTTCTCACTGGCTCCTGAAACAAGCCAATCTTGCTTTCCTACAACTTGGTCTGTTCAAAGTTCTGTCTCATAACAACCTTACATCTGTTTGGTTTTTGTGCTTTTACCCATAATCCCTGTTCAAGAGATTAACATCTTTGGACAAATGTCTAGAACGATATCTTAACAGGTATCAACTACAGCAATGTCCAGGTGAACCTTCTGTTTGGTGGAAATATTCTGTATCTGCACTGTCCAATAGGTAGTAGCCTTGTTATTAAAACTCATGATACCTAATTGAAGATGTTTTAGCAAATACATTCAACTGCTAATTAAGCTAACTGAGAACAATTATACGTTGAGACTGATAATAAGGGAGCATGCAATAACTGCATGTGTATAACTTCTTAAAACATTTTAAGCACTCTAGGTCCCAAAATCGATGAAACAAGATCTAAGATATAACTTTAGAGTTGACTTACCTCACAAAAACAGAAAGAAACTGCTGGGATTCCAGAATACGCAAGGAAAGGGAAAGCAGCATTATCCCAAGAAAATTCCTCTCTGCAAGGAAAGCAAGAATGTGTCTCTAGAAAGTTTTCTAAGGAGCAAACTGTGCTATCATGCAACCCTACCCCTATCCCCAAATAAATTCTTAAATTGACTCCAAGTACAGGTAAGCACACTGCAAGGTTAGGTTTAGATTTCTACCTAACACAGCAGGTGCTCCTGGATGATTCTGCTTTTCTATAAGCTGTTCATTCACTTTTCTCAACTTACACTTTGTTCATCCAGTTGCTGTCCCGATAAAGAGACTGCTTAGTAACCGGATGTTTCACCTGTAAAATAAAAAAATTAATTTGTCACTAAAATGAATCTTTCTGGATGTAGTTATTCAGGCTGGTCACAAGCATATTTAGATCTCTAAACATTTGTTAAAAAAATGTACTGTATCTTCTTGAAAAAAATTTAAGACTGTTTAAACAATCTCAAATTTCTAGTTACTCCTACTAGGCTCATGCTGTCACGGTTCCTTCAGTTACAAGGAGAAAAAAATGTTCTCCTTCTTTAACCATTTTAAAGGTGGGTTAGCCGCAATTTTAAAAGCCCTTTCTAGCCTTCATGATAGGCCTATCTTGTTTCTGTTTTTTTTTTGCCTTGTAGCTCATTTTATACTACTGCAGCCTAACCTGCCAACACATTACTGCCTTGCTGGAGACTCTACAGCAATTCCTAGTTTCCCATAGGATCGAGGTCAAGTTCTCTGACCCTTGTTCTGTCTTTAATCATTCCAGAGGCCTGAGTGGCTCAGCTGGTTAAATGTCTGCCTTGGACTCAGGTCATGATCTCAGAATCCTCAGCAGGGAGTCTGATTCTCCCTCTCCCTCTGTGCTCTCTCAAGGAAATAAATAAAATCCTTAAAAAAAAAAAATCATTACCAATATATATGGCCTCTAAGCCCACTGAGCCAAATCTCATTCCTCCCTGTTGCAAAACTTGGTTACTTATGATGGTTTAAACATCATTTTCCATCTTATTGTAAATTAGATAAAAAGTAAGTTACAGATTTTGTAATTAGGTATATACTCACATCTTTCATCGTTTTCTCAATAAGCGAATACAACAGTGGGCTGGCCGAAACCTTGAAGTTGTTGGTACCTGCAAAGAGATTATTTTAAAAATACTGCCCCTTCTCTAGTCAAGTAATTTTCACATGGCAGCTTCTACAACCAAAAGTACTCAACAAAAAAGGAAGACGATGACTTAGATGAGTGGCCAAATACAACTAACCTCTTCAAGAACTAGACAAAAACAGTGATTTAAGAGCCAACTTCTTTAGTAACTGCTAGCCCTAATCTGACTCGACTGAAGCTCCTAGTCCTGAGCTGGCAGATGTCAGTGTTAACGACTGTTTCCGGTGCCTTTCTAGTTCAGCTAATTAGGGCAGTCATCTGCTAGCCACCGTCTACTTGCCACACTCCGCACATCCTGCCGTCTGGGTAAGATGACAATAACGACTAATCTAGTGCAAATTTAGTTCAATTCTAACTCCTTCCTTTTTCTTTCCAATGCGATATTTTACTATTCTCAGTTCATCCGCTGGCTACCTCTGCACTTTTAATAACATTCAAATTCTTTTAGCAGTTTGACTATCTGGTATTTCTGTTCGTGATGCCACCATCTAGCTAGATGTGAATTAGTCCCTAGAAGTACCATTCTATACAGTATGGTTTAGTTCCTTCTGGTCTAAAAAACAATCCAGACTCATGGTTCTCTTTAGTGCCTCGGAATCACCCGAGTGCTTGTTAAAACACAGCCTGCTGGACTTGTGCTCCAGTTTCAGACTCAAAAGGTCTGAAATTTTACATTGCTAACAGTTCCCAGGTGATCCGAATGCTGCTAATTGAGGACCACACTGGGAACTGTTGCATTCAACAAGGCAACCTGCACCCATTCTACAACTGAATGGACTACTAAGAGAAAGCTAAGTCAGTCTTAATCACAGGGAATGGACAATGTAAATTGTGGAAAATAATGAGTGTTGCTGTAAAAAGCTTTCTTCTGTTTTATAAGTAGTTTATCTAAATTCATAAACAGTTAATGAAAAGGATACTTACCAAGAATAGCTTTATCCAGATTAATGTACGTGAAAGCCTTTAAATGCAGGGAGGAAAGGTATCCCTGAAAGAGAAGGAAAAATACTAAATGTACTAATATGAATTAATCCAATTGTCACATGGGGCAGCTATTATTAGGGGCATCTTTTTAAATTTAGAGTCTACTGAGGTTAAATATACAAAGGCAAAAATGATATACAGTTGACCTCCCTAACGTGGGGGTCAGGGCACTAACCCCCTCCCCACGCAACTGAAAATCCACGTATAACTTTTGACCCCCCAAAACTGAACTACGAATAGCTTATTGTTGACTGGAAGCTTTACCAATAACATAAATAGTTGATCAACACTTATTTTGTATGTTTTATGTATTATATATTGTATTCTTACAGTAAAATAAGCTAGAGAAAAGAAAATCCTAAGAAAGAGAAAATACATTTAGAGGACTATACTGTATTTATATAAAAAAAAAATCCATGCATAAGTGGACCTGCACAGTTCACACCTGTGTTGTTCAGGATCAACTGTAATCAAATCTAAAAGAGTATGGTTTCTGGAGGACAAATTAAGCCAAAACGAGTTCAGCTGCCCATTCTGGGTATGGGTGCTGTACAGATAATACCTCTAGCCATTCAGTGGCACCAATTGCTCCAAAGTCGCCAGCACTCCAGCTGGCAAAGACAATGCTTCTGCTGGGTCTAAAGCCATCTAAAAGGTAACAAAAAGTTGTTTTATCTTAGGACAGGTTACAGGTAGGCAACTGACTTAAGATGAGATCAGAAATTTCTAATTCAAGACAGCAGATTAAAAAATATTTCTTTCCCTTTTGAGGCCCCAGGTGAAAGAACAACAACAGAAAGAATAAAAATAAATTTTAAAAGTAATCTACGAAGAACAGGATAAGAGATCATTTGCAAAAAAGATTTCAAATACATGGTAGGGACCAGTTTTTATAGGAAATCACTTTTTTCCCAACTCCATTCTTTGAGCCCCTTAACATCTGGACCAAGAAATAGTTGAAATCATGGTGTAACTACAACGTGTACCTTCTCTGAAAACAATCTGCGTAGAGGTCAATCACTTAAAACGCTGGGTTACTTCACAAACAATTGTTATGAAATAGAATACAAATGCACACATTTAAGTTATAAGAAAGAGTTTTCAGAGGAATTACATTAATGACAGCTCCTTTTGGGACTATATGTACCACTGCCCTCCATTCCTCCCCTTTCCTCGGGTATGTATTTTTTTGTATTATGTACTTTTGCATAAAAGTTAAGCACTACAACTTACCCTCTGACCCAAAGATTCAAGAAGGTGATGGTTTGTGTGTGTGTGGGGGGGGTGTGTGTAGAGGAATGGCCAAGTACCAAGGGAGAAAGGCTTGAAAGTGTTTATATATTATAAATATATATGAACATATCTAGTATTCTAAGTATAATATATAAAATTACATACTATAACTTTATAACAAAATTATAGAAAATTAGTACAGAGGTATACCACTGCTTGCTTTAAAATAGATTCCTTAGGGACCATGCCAGATTTGCCATATCATTCTGAATATGTCAAACTAAGAATTAGGGTCCAGTACAATACTTTTTTGGTGTCTCAAAAAGGAGCTGATACCCAATGCAATGAAGACACTGCATGGAAAGCTGTTTCAGTCAAAGGCAGATCCAACAAAAGATGATCTGCTTTGTACCTAAGAATTCAGAGCCCAGCGTAAGTGAACCATAATAATATAGGCGAAAGTGAGAAATCATATAATATTTAGAACTATACATAGCACATAGATATTCAAGTTCTCAAAATCTGTACTCTACCTTTTAAGACCATATCAGAAAATATCCGGGCAAGTTCCAATAGGAGAGCTGTTCCTACGCTAGACTTTGCAGCTCCAGGACCCCAGGCATCCCTCTGAGCCCCTATTACAACATAGCGATCTTAAAAAGAAAAAGATAAATTATACAATCAACTTTTAAACTGTTTTCTAATATTGAACTCTAGAATAATCATGTTAGTAAAAAGGGTAAAAATGCAGTATATGCTCTAAGGGTAAATAAAATATTTCATATCTGACTTAGGACTCCAGAAATTAAAAATTCATATGACGATGCTAATCTCTTTTTCCTTATTAGGTATTGCTACTCTTTCCACATTACCAATTAAGTTCACTCATTGGCTACTTATTAGTGCCCACTAATAGTTTAATAAGCAACCAAAATCCATGGGCTTTTTTTTTTTAAAGATTTCATCCATTTGACAGAGACACAGCGAGAGAGGGAACACAAGCAGGGAGAGTGGGAGAGGGAGAAACAGGCCTCCCGCTGAGCAGAGAGCCCAACGCGGGGCTCGATCCCAGGACTCCGGGACCACGACCCGAGCCGAGGCAGACGCCCAACGACTGAGCCACCCAGGCGCCCCCACGGGCTTTCTTTACTAAATGATATGACTATTAGATTCTACTTAAACAGATGGCCTATTCAAGGGGTCAGTGGTAAATCACAGCCTACGTGCGCGTTCATTACGTATCATTTATGGCTGTTTTCACGCTGCCACATTGGAGTTAAGTAGCTGCAACAGAGACTGATAGCCTGCAACAGGTTTATTATCTGCCCCCTTTGAGAAGAAATGTGCTTACTGCTGTTCTATTCAATAACTTAAAAGACATTTTCTAATCTTAATGGTCAATTTTTGACAAGTTAATTTCCTAGAGTCTTATTATCTCCCAATAAAACTGACACCTAAACAGTTCGCTTTAGGACAGACAAGAGTTAGCATTCCACAAAACCAAGCCAAAGCCAGCCTTCCTGCACCCCCTCTTCCCTCTTCTGGCCACATTCTTAAGAACTAGGAAAACACAAACAAACAAACAAACCAAAAACAAGGGTCTTTACCAGGTTCCTCAAAACCTTTAATAACTCCAAAAACGTTAAAAATTCTTATCTCTTTCAGCACATTGTTCACAGTGAGCTTCACATTCCTGTTCTGGGAAGTCTCCAGCCTGCACGAGGAGTCTATTTCCCAGGCAGAAGGACAGTCTCCTTCCATATTTCTAGAAGAAGAAAACAGACATCAGAGTTCTGAGTTACTGTTGCTTCCCCCAAGGCTTTCAAAATCAGTCTTCCTTACTGCCCAGGGAAGGTCCAGGCTAGGAGGACATATAAAGAAAACATATACAAAATTTACTTCTTGGTGGCCAACCATCTGTATCTTACTCTGACCTGTAGGCAATCATTTAAAAATCAGTTACCTCCAAGTTTAACCAGTGTTTAAAAAAATTTCTCTACCTGTCCTCATCTGACACGTGCCTTTTTTTTTTTAAAGATTTTATTGACACGTGCCTTTCTGCCAGAGACACAGTTATAATTTACATTTTAAGTAGATACCAAGATGGACTCAGAATGAAGTTCTTTTTTTTTTTTTTTCCACAAAACAACTTTTATTTGAGGCAAGAAGTGTGGATGAAAGGGTTACAGTTCCCAGCAGCCAACATCCAGTCGTTAGTGGCACTATTTCAACTCTGTAGACTCAACCTGGAGGGGAAGAGGCACCAAGAGCTTCAAAACTCAGCGTTGAAGGGATAGTCCTTGTGGGAAGCACAGCTCACCAAGGCACACACCCGCCAGTTCCGGTTGTAGCTGAGTAAGGTGGTCATATCCACGCTGCTCAGTTCAAAGTCAAAGACCTGAAAGTTCTCAGCAATGTGTTCGGGTGTCATGGACTTGGGGATCACGACCAAATTCCTCTGCATGGGGAACCGGATCAGAACCTGCGCTGTGGTTTTCTTGTGCTTGGCTGCAATAGCTTTGATCCTGGGATCCTCCAACAGGGAAGGGTCCTCAGGCTTGGCCCAGGGCCTGTCAGGAGAGCCGAGCGGGCTGTAGGCAGTCACCATGATGCCTTTGGACTGGCAGTACTGGATTAGCTTCTCCTGAGTGAGATACGGGTGGCACTCAATCTGGTTAACAGCCGGCTTATATTTTAAGCCAGGTTTGTTTAAGATCTTCTCGACTTGGAGATGGCTGAAGTTGGAGACTCCAATAGCTTTCACCAGCCCTTCATCCATCAGCTCTTCCATGGCCTCCCACGTGTCCACAAAATTGTTGTCACTGGGAATCACATTGCCTTCCCCATCCAGGGGGAAATATTCCTTCCCGTGCTTGAAGCCGGTTGGCCAGTGAATAAGGTAGAGGTCCAGGTAGTCCAGCTTCAGGTCACTGAGCGTCTTCTGGCAGGCTCCCTTCACCATGCTCTTCTCATGGAATGTGCACCACAGCTTGCTGACGATGAAGAGGTCCTCACACTTCACCACCTGCTCCTTGAGCTTCTCCTGGATGGCCAACCCCACCTCATTCTCGTTCTGGTACATGTGAGCACAGTCGATGTGGCGGTATCCAAGGTCAATCGCCATCTTCACAGCCTCAGTCACTTTGCCTGGAGGGGACTTCCAGGTGCCCAGCCCCATGATGGGCATCTTGGCGCCGGTGTAGAGCATGAGGTGGCTGGCCATGACTGCTGAGATCTGCAGGCCCGCTCCCGAAGACCATCCAGAATGAAGTTCTTACATACAAGCCCATTAACACATCCCCATGTTTCCTCACTCTCTCTACTAACCAGTATACATTCTTGTCTTAGTTATAAAAGAGTATTTTCATGCTGCTAATAGTTAGGTATCTTCCCCTATCAAATTCCTCATGTTATCCAAACAATGACTGCTCTACTTACAGAAGTATGTCAAAACATTATTACCCCCCACAATACAACAATAAAATAGGAAGCTGGCTTCACAGGTTAGGGAAGACTTCTAAGTGGTGGTAAGAACGATAAAAATCACCTATTAAAAATGCTTCGCAGATAGCATTGTTACTAGTTGCATAGTATTATACAGGTATCCTTACATGTAGATGCTCTTCATTTGAAACCAATCACCCTGTTAAGTAGAATATATTTCAACTATCTAAGTCAAAGAAATGTGATCAGTGGGGTTAGAGTAACTTGTTCTACGTCACACAGCAAATAAATGTTCACATTAAGTGTCTGAGACTAGATCTACATCCTGTGCCAATACCAGGTGGGAAATACGTCCAGATCAAGATAAAAGTTAATGACAATTACTCTAATCAGACTGGGTTCTCTTATTAAAGAGGGATACTAAAACATTAGGGAGGATATCCAGGACTAACCATGACTGTAAAGCATCTGGAAACTGTCATGAGAACTGAAGATATTCAATCTATGGATTAGAAAACTTGAATTGTTCTGTTGTTAAGAACAAACTCTAGAACGAATAGGTGTTACAGGGAATAAGATTTCAGCTCAACATGAATTCTAACAGACCTACTCCAACAACTGAATGGGTTGCCATAGGCAACAAAGTGCTTTACCTCAGGAAGTCCTCAAGCAGAAGCTATGCCAGGAACAGTATACAAGGAATTCAGTGGGTAAATTGAACAAGGACTCACTGAGTTTATAAATCCAATGTCTAATTATTAAGATCACCTTATGGAGGAAAAAATTCATATTTATCTACAAGTTAACAGCTATCTACCCCATGAAATGCCAAATATGGAAAATTATAGCCAATTGTTTTAAATGTTATAAAATTAACTGAAATGATTACTATTCCTTTCTAAGCATAAAACCAGTTTTCAAATAAGAGAACCTTCCAATAAGAACTTACTCAAACAACTTTTCTGCAGCAGCTCTGGAAATTGTTTGGACAGGAATGCTGGGCAATCCTGATGACTGAGATGGCGGAAACTGAGTGTGATTGAAAGAAGGGAATCCAGGTGTGTACGGGTCACCTGTTCCCAGGTGAGCCTAGTAAAACAAAAGAATAATGTGCTCTGTCAGACATTTGTTCAAGAAATCCCTAGAACATTCAGATTCAGTATGAGGGTATAGCCTAAATTTAGTTTAGCACCTCAAAGCCTAAAGGTCTGAGTGGCTCTACAACATGTTACTCTTGTTTTTATATGGCATATGCCAAATTCCCAATTCAAGACACTGTTGAGAAGGTTCCATTAGCAATAATAACTAGGTCTCAAAGTCACATAATCCATCTTCTTGTCAGTGCTAGACTCTCCCAGAAAAAAAAAAGAGCATTTAAGGAAGGCATGTTATACTTCTACTAATACAGATGGAACCCAGCAACATTTGTAGAATCCAAAAACTCATTTTCTTAAGAAAAACACTCACATGTCCAAAGACTGGAATCTCTGCATTAACAATGGGAAATCTAGACTGATCCATGTATATCAAGACACCAATTGCATTGAAACTTTGAGCATTTGCAACCTGAAGGAAAACATGTAAAGATCAGAAAGTGAAGATGTAATCACACAAAATTAGAAGACTATGCATTGGGCTTTATGCTAAAAGACAAAGGGTTAGAGAGGACTGCACTGAAACTCCCCAATGTTTCAAATAGCTTATACATTGAGACAAACTTCTTGCCTTAACTAACTCATCAAGGAGTTTCAAAGACAAATGATAAAAACCCATGCAACACAACAACTGTCTTTTGTTATGTTCCATTCTAGGTGCTTATGGAGCTTTGACTTTCAATTTTCCTTTTCATAAAACATAGAACTGAATTCTATATATACATAAAACTGGGTTATATAGAACGTAACAATTAAAGCACCTTAACTTAACAATAATTTAACAATCCTATATAACAACAGATTATTGTTATTTTAAATTTAAACTGCTTTCACTTAAGCATTTCTGATTACTTCTTTTTCACTGAAAGACAATGACTGCAGAATACTCCAAGTGGCTCTGCCATAGTTTTACAAGTGTCCTACAGTTTAGAGAATTGGAACTTTGTAATTTGTTGAACACTTTAATAAATTATGTTATTAGGTATTGAGAGTTTAAGACTGACAGTTTTCAGAATGTAAAAAGAATCAATACCATTTAAATGAAGAAAAGCATGATACCAATGTACTCAATAACTTATACTCACCTTTTCAGCAAAAGTGATTTTCCCTGCTCTAACGATCACTAAAGATCCATTCACAGGAGAATTTAAATTCTCAAAGTCTTTTTTGGTGCCAAAATTAGCATGGACCAGTCTACCCTAGAATAAAGACATCAGAGTTAATGAGCATTATCGTAATTAGAATAGCCATAGAGTCTGAGACAGGATGGTTTTACAGATCAAACCCAAGAGAGAAAACAAAAAGACAGAAAGAAGGAGGCGAAAGCCTAGAAAGGATGTAAGAGTTCTAGTCGAACCGGTCACAGTTATCAGGAGTGAATCAAGACTTCTGGCCTCCTATATTCACGTCTGGTAACATCACATGCTGCCTTTAATCTAATTCGCATTGACCTATTGACATTTAATCTCTTTTACATTGCTTCCAGTATTCTGGGAGAAGAGAAAAGCAAACAGAATATGATAAACAAAGAGACATATACCAATATAAATACTGTAGGCTAGCCCTGGCAGCACCAATTACATAAAGTTCCTAACAACTGAATGCTAGATAATTGAGGACATACATAGGAATGGGTCTTAACTGAAAGTTCTGATAATAAACCTGTGTGAAAACTGTTGAAGACTATCTACTACAATAAAGTGACTTGCATAGATCAACTTTTAGATGTTTATAAAAGCTGTCTCATAATGTTCCTAAATTTTATTAACAGAGCTATAAACTGACATTGACAAGCAAATATCCAAATATAGAAAGCTTGCGGATGAACAAAAATCCTGTGTTCTTTTATTTTTTTAAATTAATTTATTTGAGAGAGAGAGAGAAAGGGGGGGTTGGGAGGAGGGGGAGAGGGAGAGACAGTGTCAAGCAGACTCCGTGCTCAGCATGGGGCCCCACACAGGGCTCAATCTCACCACCCTGAGATCAAGACCTGAGCTGAAACCAAGAGTCGGATGCTTAACTGACTGTGCCCCAGGTGCTCCCAAACCCTCAATATTCTTGGCCAGAAGTCCACCCACCTCCAAACCCCTAGCTTGTAGGTAGCCAGGGAAAGTGATATAGCACACGTAAGACTTCATCTGGCTTGGAAGGCATCCATTAGATAGACCCCTGATATACAAACATGTTTTTTCACCTGAAAAACCTAGATACATCTGTTTTTCAATTTCTGTAGTAGTTTGGCCATATTTGCCTAACTAAATTTTAAAAGATCAAGCATTAAAAATTCAAGCTAAGACTAGACTCCAGCCAAGATGGTTACTTCTATCTGTCCCCACATGGTATCTTGATATTCACATTCATTCAGCAAACACCACGTGTCAGGCACTGTCCAAGGCTCTGTGACATAGCAGTACCTAAAGCCAACCTCTAGCCCTTTGTGTAGCTTACATTCTACATTGGAAACAAATGTCAGGTGTGTAAGTCCCATGAAGAAAAATAAAGCAGGGTAAGGGGAAGTGATTGGAGGAAGGCCATTTTTAACAAGATAATCAAGGAAGACTTCCCTAAAGAAGGGAAGAAGTGGAGAAGAGATTTGCACAAAATGAGGAACAGGCCACGTTGGTATTTAAGGAAAGAGTGGGGCCGGCAGAAGGAAAGGTAAGTTTTATAAAGGCCTTGAGGTGGGAGCATGCCTGCGTTTGAGAGTCTGAGGAACACCCAGGGAAGCTGGGGTGGCCAGAGCACAGTGAAGGAGAAAAAGAGAAGGAGGATGATTTAGGGCCTTGCTGTCCTAGATAAGGACCTAGGGTTTTACTTTCACTGTGGCATAGGAGGGCAGAGAACAAGAGCATCTCATGATCACTTTCATTTTACAAGTAAATTTACACCAAAATCGTAAGAAAAGTAACGACAAGGAGTTTCTGAGCTATTCAGTAGGGAAAAAAATCTCATGCACTGTTTTGCCTTACTTACAGTAACTGTCGCTGCCTTACTGTATGCCACGTAACCCTCAGGACTCTCCACCAGGTATACCACGCCACTGTCCGTGCCCACTATGGTCACCGAGTTTTGAGCACTGCTAAAGAAGATTAAGTTAAAGTGAAGCTGACGCTAAGGACAACCTTGGGGAAAAAAATTAAATGGCTTTAATATATTTAGCATTTGACTTGTATTATTTACACTTTGAAAGTCTCTGCTATATTAGCACACCTAAAAACAGCTATTTATATAAAATCAGTTTACCATCTTTCAACATACCTGCTTTTGACCTGAATCTTAATAAAATGTTCATCACGCCAGACTTTGCTAAGCAGAAATGCACGGAACTGATTCTCAATGAAAAAAGCAAGGCTTTCGTCTTTTTGAGATCCTGCCTCACGAGGGACATACGAATTTTCATTCAGCAGCCTAGAGGAAAAACCGTCACTGTTAAATGAACTGAAATTTAATTTAAAATAAACAATGAACTCAAATATCAAGCAAATTGTTTTAAAAGCATAACTCAATACTACTCATCATAGCTAAATTAACTGCGACCCAAAATTTCTGGGCTGACTAAAGACAAACTTAGAAAAAAATGGCCAAATATCTGAAGGAATTTATGTCTTCAGCTTGTTAAAAACTCTTTATCCAAAGTAAAGTGGTCCTTCAGGAGCCCCATCCTAAGGGAGTACCTGCTTAGGGTAGTTTTAGGGGAAATGAGTAGTTTCCAAGAGATCTGTTGTTAAGCAAAATGAAAGATAGTGTTACTGTTGGTGAACTCAAGAAGTACAGCTTTAATTTTCACCTACTTTGAGGCAAAACTACTCCTTGTTCCGATTTCCTACGTCTCATTGTAACTATATATAGATCATATAGATTTTTTTTTTTTGTAAACTACACTCTCATTTTATCTATAATGCCTGGTATAGTATACACAAAAGTATTCACTAGATGAAGTAAAAATGCCAAGATTCCTAACCTAAGACTAAGAGAATTATTGTACCACTGCAACTGTAGGAAGCCAGCTAATAGGTGAAAGATGAATACATTCTTTACACAGAGTTAGCTAAGTGTCTACGGAAGATCTTAAAAACCAAAGAAGAGAAACCTTAAGGACACTTCTTAGTGTATGGATTAGTGAGAACAAGAAGAAATCAAGGAATACTAAAGACATGATATGTCTCTATATCAAGTCAGGCAGTCAAGTTAGTCCTGATCTAAAGAGTAAAGAAGGCTACTGATACCGTTGTGGATAGCAGCAAAGTTCAGCATGACTTACAAGGGGTTAAGATGAAAAATCAAAGCAGAAGAAAGTTTGACAGCAAGCAACAAGCTACAAAGAGCCTGATGACGAAAAGATCAAAGACCTACAAATTTTTTAAAGAAAAAGGAGTGTCCTCACACTTCTCCCCATCCAACATAGTTTGAATTCACTAATTGTTTACCCTCCAGCTGAACACAGGAAGCTTCCCCTAACTCTGAGAAGGCTTTCCTCCAGACTGTCACGTTTGTTGTGTTACACTGCTCTGAGTAATTGGTATTTGTTTAGGTATTGATATTAAATTTCTGAAGTAGCTCAAGCTTACCTGATGGTGGTGAGGAAGTTTGTGTTACTCAGTCTCTTTGACAACATTGTTTTGAGGTCCGCCCAAAATAAGCGAGAAGGTGTTTCAGGGAAGTACTCTTCTGTTTCTGAAGGTTCTGTTCCCTCTATCCCCAGAGACTCCGTTCCTGATGGTCTCTCACATTCAGCTTTTGGTTCTACACGTTTACAATAGCCCAAGTAACCAATCATAAATCCTAAGGATAAAAAGTTTCATGGCTGAACTCACAGATTTTCCTTTATAATATATTCCCATAAGAACTGTTAATATTTTCAGCTAAGCCTTAAAAATACAGGTTTATTCAAATTGTAAGCAGATTGAAAGTAAATAATGAATCTCAGTTTTGTATAATTTTAAACCATTCAATCTAATAAATCATACAGTTGACTCTTGAACAATGTGGGGGGGGGTGGGTTTAGGGTGTAGACCACACACACAGTAAAAAATCTGCATATAACTTTTGACTCTCCAAAAACGTAACTATTAATAGTCCACTGTTGACCAGAAGCCTTATGATGACAAAAACGACTGATTAACATATATTTTGTATTTTATACGTATTATACAGTACATTCTTACAACAATACCTTTTTCTTAACTTTTTCAGTATTTCTAGGCTACACAGTTGGTAAGTTTTTTCAAATTGTCACAAATTTCCAAAAAATTTTCCAATATATTTATTGAAAAAAATCTGCATATAAGTGGGCCCACACAGATCAAGCCCATGTTGTTCAAGAGTCAAATGTATAATAACTCTAAATAGTTACCTTTTCACTTTGGTTCTTTTTTTCGTGTATTTAAATAATCTCTACACCCAACATAGGGCTTGAACTCATGACCCCAAGATCAAGAGTCACATGCTCTATTGACTAAGCCAGCCACGTGTCTCTAAATAGTTACCTTTTTAAGATATAGGTAACTTTTCTTCCCAGAAGCCTTCCTTGAATCCTTAGGGCAAGCTTCTATGCTACAAATATCCTGTGAGTGTTTCTAGTATAACATTTGCACATTACAACGATGTGATTCATGTGTCTTTCTCCCCCGACCAGGCTCAACTCAAGGCAGGCCTAGAATCTTCTTCATCATTGTATTCCTAGTGCCTAGCATAATGGCACATAAAAAGGTACAAAATAAATGTTTGCTTGGCTGAATTAACACCCTTCCTAGAGTCAGTACAAGGAACATTTAAGTTTTGAATGGACACTCTTACCAATCAAGAAAAAGAGGACTACAGCAATAGTCCCATAGCACATAAATCCATTAAGCCTTTTTGGTTTTGTGACACTGGCATGATTACCCCTCACGTTATTGTCAACATTTTCTTCTTCATCTGCAGCTAGTTTCATCTCCACATGACTGTTATCACCATCTACTTGCCGTGCCAGACTAAACCGGGTATAGGACAATGGTTCTCCACCAAACTGAGGTTTGAGAAAAAGAGAGAAAGAAAGCATTATGAAAGAGAAGAAAGGGAAGAGGAACATTTACAAAAAGTTTGGTTGGGTACTGTACTTATTACTGGGCCATTATTAGGACTTGCTATATATTCTTAAGAAAAAAGAAGTTCCTCTTTCAAAGCGACATGCTTCCCTATGCCAATTCTGTCCATGACAGATGAAGGCTAGATCACACACTGGCCTTCCTCTCATTCAGCCTTTTCATTCAGGGTGTCTGTTATGTATGTCTACTAACATAGGTATATATTTTGAACAGTGCTTTCTTCAGTTCCTCTTATCCACTTCGCTGTCCCCCTCCCAGCACACCCAAAAAATACCCTGGAAGTTCTTATAGGATTTTCCAAGTCCACTCTACTCAAGACGGAATATACCCTTCCTTTGTGGGATCAGTTACATCTCAAGACCACCACTTCAACATAAACAAATACTTTATGATACCTTTGAATATTACTTCATGCTTACTGGGTGAGAGTCATTCTTGTATACTTCATATTCTCACAAACTGGTGACAAGAAATACAACCTAAAATATCTTACCAAGGTAGAGAATGCTGATCTGGCTTGATCCATCATTCTGAGCTGCCACACAGAATAAGAGCCTAGTATTAAAACAGAAAATTAATATGCGATAGATACCACTATATCAGATAAGTGAGGGCTTTTCATTATCATGCTAGATTATTATACATCAAATTTACTTTTAAATATATTATCACCTTCTAGAAAGAGTCTTTAACAAAGATACTTAGTTTATAGGACAAGTAAATTTAGTGTAATCCTTGATTAGATCCTGAATTGAGGTGGGGTGGGGGTGGGGACAGGGACAAAGAATATTGTTGGGAGAAATAAATCTAAATACAAACTATATACTGGATAACAGTACTGTATCAATGTTAGATTTGGAGAGTGCGATAATGGTCTTCTGTTTTTGGAGGAGAATGCCCTTGTGCTTAGGAAATTAATGCTGAAGATTTCAAGAATGAAGTATCAGGGAGCCTGGCTGGCTCAGCTGGAGGAGCATGCCACTCTTGATCTCAGGGTTGTGAGTTCAAGCCCTATGTTGGGTGTAGAGATTACTAAAAAAAAATAAACTTAAAAAAAGAATAAAGTATCATAAATTCTATTGTTATTTTTTTAAGATTTTATTTATTTGACAGAGAGAGAGAGAGCACACAAGCAGGGGAAGCAGTAGAGGGAGAGGGAGAAGCAGGCTTCCTGCGGAGCAGGGAGCCCGATGTGGGGCTCGATCCCAGGACCCTGGGATCACGACCTGAGCTGAAGGCAGATGCTTAACCATCTGAGCCACCCAGGCGCCCCGCATCCTAACAGTTCAGTTTTAAAAAGTGTATAAGAAATAAAGCAAATGTGGCAACTATTAATAACTGGTGAATCAGAGCAAAGGGTACATGGATATATATACTCTACTACTCTTTCAATTTTTCCTATAGACTTGAAATTTTTCAAAATTAAAAATGGGGGGGCACCTGGGTGGCTCAGTGGGTAAAGCGTCCGATTCTTGGTTTCAGCTCAGGTCATGGTATCAGGGTCATGGGACTGAACCCCATGATGGGATCCACGCTCAGCAGGGAGTCTGCTTGAGATTCTCTTCCTCTCTCTCTCTCTCTCTGCTCCTCCCCTCCCCCCCAAAATAAATAATAAATCTTAAAAAATATGTGGGAAAAATTAGTTAGAATGCCACCCATGTTAAGTAGATTTAAGTAACTGAACTTAGTAGTCAAAAGAACAAATACAAAAGACAACAGACTAGCACCTGAAAAAAAAAACAAACTACAGTAGAACTAAGCCAAGAATGGTCATGCTACAAAGACCAGTAACAAAGCATCTCCAATAAAAATGAGCGAACACCTGATCCTTCTGAGTAAATGAACAGTTCTTACAAATGATCCGGAAGATCTTTGATGCAAAAAGAATAGACAAGAAAAGAAAAACACAGTATGCAGACAAAGAGGCCAATTATCTGAGATGTTACGTGTCTTGTTCAAGGCTGAAAACATAATCCAAAACTGAAGTTCGATGGGTTACTGGGTTATAAAAATTGTATTCTCATCTCCAGAAACTTAAGAAATTAATCTTAACCTTTGAATCACTATGTTTATGCCTAAAACTAATATAATATTGTATGTCAACTATACATCAACACATCAATTAAAATAAATAAATGACAACCATTTCATTATTTTTTTTAATTTTTTTTTTTAATTTTCCAGTAATCTCTACATCCAATGTGGGGCTTCAACTTACAACCCTGAGATCTAGAGTCACATGCTCTACCAACTGACTGAGCCAGCCAGGCACCCTGACAACCACTTTAAAAGTAAACACCTCTGTAACCAAGAGAGTCCTATATTAAGTTAAATATAGGTATCAACTGAAATCTGAATTTTTCTAATTAATTTGATTTGAGTGCCTCTAGATGTTTGAAAGTTATATTATGTTGAAATATATAAAATGGCCACTTATTTCATACTATTTTAAGGCTTTTCCTATACTACAATTACACTTACTGCACATTTAACATCCACATGGCACAAAGCAAACTGTAAGATACATGCAGATTGTAGAAGACAGTATATAAACTGGCAATTAGAAAAGTCTCCTATCAAAACCTATTAACAACAACAACAACAAAAATTTAATCCCCAAGTTTTAAACACCAGAGCTAAGAAGTAAGAGATCATCTTAGAAGCACAGTCTCTTGCCCTATCTGGTACAAAAAATTTATCACTATCACTGCACCAGAACGGTACAAACCCAATCACTAAAACCAGAACTAGAAGACTCCACCCTGAACCAATTTTAATCACCCTTTTCTAGGAAAGAGCAGCTTTCAAGTTTAATATTCTTCTGAATCAGCCATTCCTCAAGGTTTCTAGCTTTAAATTAATTTTGAGGCTAAAGTGACAACACTTTTAAATATATGATCTAAGGATTTAAATAAATGACGATGAAATTAAATGATTGTAAGTCTGCATAAACAAAGATATTAACAGAATATAATTATGATTTTGTATAATTAAAATCAAAATACATTTTTTACTGAGAAAACCAGTATGTTATTTCTATTTCAATACCTAGACACAAAATTAAGATTATAACATAAAAGAAATCAAGTTAGAGGAAAAAAACTGTGACCTAGGCAATTCCCATTTTAACCTCATAATTTAATCCCACATCTATGAAGAACATGATAATTCTATGATCTATAAAAGTTGTTCCTCAAGTTTTATATATAACAAATATGAATCATTCTTTCAAAATGACCTCACACACAGTAAAGCTCTGTATTTAAAAGAACCCCTTAATAAATTTTCTTGCAACTGAAATCACTTTAATTTATGTGCTCTAAAAGCATGGGAGAAACTTTCCATACCAGTTATAACTGTCTATAAACAGGTAGTTATGTTAAAAGACATAAGGATATATGTATCGTGTACAGACTCCTGGTTTGGAGACACCCCAAAGTAGCTTAAGACCTCAAGGTAGTTACTGTATTTTAAAAAATAGAAATTAATGCCACATTTCCAGAAAGTAGGAATAAAACGCTGTGAATTATAAAGAAGTTTAGGACTGTACTAGCTAGTACCTAACGCCAAACAACTTTTATATGGCTAATTTCAAGATGTCACCACTGCTGATAATCTATAACAAGAGATAAACCAAACACCTTGATTTTTATACATATTAGCACCTTGTATATATTTAGTGCTCTCAGATAACTGGAAAACCTATTCAGTTTCTCACATTAATGAAAATTAAGCTAAGCAAAACAGAGCCCCCCATGTTTTGAACATGAAATGGAAGGACGATCTGTAATGCGTTAATTGAGCCATGGGATGGAAGATAGGAAGTAGGCAAAGGTACTAGCTAGACTACAGTCCTAAACTTCTTTATAATTCCAATCGTTTTATTCCTACTTTCTGGAATGTGGCATTAATTTCTATTTAATTTTTTAAAATACAGTTAACTACCTTGAGGTCTTAAGCTACTTTGGGGTATCTCAAAACCAGGAGTCTTTACACAATACATACAGCTAAGGGTGGGGGGATCATGTACCAAAATACACTGTCACCTGTGTATAAGATGCCCAAGACTGCTACTCCATTTTACCTGAAATAACAATAAACCACTTGTTTGTTATTATTGACAATCCCACTTCCATTTAGAAAATTGACCATGGTTTCAAGACCTTAGAGTTCACATAAAAGGAATTTCCTCTGTTTTTGAGGCTCTGTTCTAGAGAATTTCACTACCTAATAACCACTGCCCTCTACTTTCCCTAAAATGAAACAGAATCCAGCCCCTGCCTCTACTAACATTCTTTCTTTGTTCTTGAACTCTGACTCCTTTCTTCCTGACTCAGCTCAGGGAACATCTTTAGGAAGCCTTTTCTGATTTTCCTGCCCTACACTTGATATAGATTTTACAAAAAATAGGGACGCCTGGGTGGCTCAGTCAGTTAAGCGTCTGCCTTCCACTCGGGCTATGATCCCAGGGTCCTGGGATTGAGTCCCTCATCGGGCTCCCTGCTCAGCGGGGAGCCTGCTTCTCCCTCTACCCCCACCCCCTGCTCATGCTGTCAAATAAATAAATAAAATCTTAAAAAAAAAAAAAAAGAATTTACCAAGAATAATTAACAAAGAATAAAGATATTTTATTTCTTAACAGTATTGGGGCATGCTTAATGTATATGAAGTTCATTTGTCATATCATTTGGAAATTACATAAAAAATATAATGAAAATCTTAGACCTGGAATCTTCTCCCATTCCTGCTACTATTCTGGTTTATCCTGGAACCATTGGGCAAAGCACAGATAGTAGGGAGATTTTAAAAAGTAGAAAAACTGAGCCTGAATGGCTCAGTCGGTTGGGCCCCTGACACTTGGTTTCGGCTCAGGTCATGATCTCAGAGTGGTGGGACTGCGACAGGCATCCAGCAGCAGATCTCTGAGCTCCGCTAAAGAGTTGGCTTGAGATTCTTTCCTTCTCCTCCTCCCTCTGCCCCTGCCCCCACTTGTGTGTGTTCTCTGTCTCTCAAATAAATAAATAAAATCTTAAGGAAAAAAAAAGGCAGAAAAACTTTAAAGGTTACCTGGTAGGGCTCCAAGTTCTTAAGCAATTGATTATGGATACCCGTTTTGCAAACTGTTTCCCTATTCATTTGCAGGTGAAAATGAAAAGGTTACATGAACTTACAAAGCTTCTGCAGAGCCCTCAGGACACATATAATTGTGTACACCCAGGATGACTTGTAAAGAGATGGACAAGGTCTCTCCTAGTTTCAAGGGTCTAAAATGAAAAGGCTGTGCGGTGTCTGGGAGGCTCAGTCGCTTGAGCATCTGACTCTTGGTTTCAGCTCAGGTCATGATCTCATGGGTAGTGAGACCGAGCCAGAGAGAGGCACTCAGCAGGGAGGCTGCTTGAAGATTCTCTCCCTCTGCCCCTCCCCCCCAAATAAATAAATAAATCTTTTTTAAAAAAATGAAAAGGCCGTGGAGGAAAACAAGGAGAATCTTCATTTCTATTCAGCTTTCTGTAAAAAGACTGCCCAACCCAAAGGTCAGGACCACCTTAAGTCATTGCCATCTACCTGTATGGTATTCATCTGAGAGAGCCCACAAGAAGCACACAGAGAAGAGTTCCAAAAGGCCTCAGAGGATCATTTTTAACTAGATTTCACTGTTGTCTGATTCAAGTTTCATCAGGAACCTTGCTCCATTATAGACAAAGTACATTATCAGAGGCAAGTAACTGCCACAACTTAGGGCAGAGTCAGTGGAGTCGTTGTCTCTACCCAACAATCTTCAGCACAGGCTAACTTCACAACCATTACTTCACAAAAACATTCCACCAAAGAAAAATTACAGGGTGCTATGCTATATGTAAATTTTGGGAAGATATTTCATATCGATAAAATTTTTTTAATTCTAGGTCTTCTTGTGAAGTATACTGAGTTCATTATAATCCAAAACGGAGAAAAAACCCCAGCAGGGCCAACAAGTACTGTAGATAGCCTAACCTTGAGTTTTGCAATAGAAAACAACTTTGGGAAATCACCTTAAACGTCTTTGTCAATAAGGTCAACCCCCTCAGCTCAGCCGCAACTGAATCAGCATCTAGTATTCCAACTCATATCTAAGCCTAGAATAAAGGTATCAGGTATCCAAATACCTCTGAAAGAGGACAACTATCTCCTACTTCAATCCTCTTACCCCACCTCCCAGAAAAGAAAGCAAAAGCAATTAAGTTCCCTGAAAAATGTTAACCGAAGAGTCAAGTCACAAAATATTATTTTCTTACTTACCCTACCCACTACTACCTTAGAGAGCCATCCACTAGAAACACTAATACAACGGGCTTCTAAGGCATTTATCAATATAGCACAGCCTTTTAGCCATATCGCTAATTTCCTGAAAGCAAAAGCCAATTCCAATCCAAACAGCTTTTACTTAGCCTCTAGACCATAGCTTTCACAAAGTGTAAGTCAGATTATTTCTGCGTCTCCCACCTTACAACAAGGAGAGCCTAGCAATCAGAATAATCTTCGAGTCAATACCTGCGGAGTTCAGGGGGCTTCTGCCTGGGGAAAACGGAGAACCCACACACAAGGCCAGCGGCAACGCTGAAGATCAGGACGTACCAGAGTTCAAACGCACGGCTTACAGAAACTCCCATCAAATTCCCAGGACACACTAGTAACCAAGTCGAGGACAGCTCCGTCCCTTTCAGCAGTGAGACCAGGGCCCGCGTAGGCCCCGAGAGCGAAGGGCTACAAGCTCAAGGTCACCCATGCACCCCTACAGCAATTCCCTGCGGACACTTCCCGGAGCGGCCACGTGCTCCCAGCAGAGCGGGTCTACGCTGCGGCAGCGTGGCTCGCACTCCCGCGCCCGCGGCCTAGGGTTGTCCACGAGGTCCCGCATCTTTTAAGGACGAGCTAGTGAGGACAAGGGATCCGGGTGGGCCTGAGGACCGGAAGCAGAATGGCGGGGTGAGAGCGACAGTGGGGTACCCCTCATCTCGCCCTCAGTGCCCTCACGGAGAAACCATTCGCCGCTCCGCGACCGAGACAAGGCGCAGAAAGGCAGCGAGGACAGCCTTTCTCCGCACAGCGGCTCCACCTCGCTGCACCTGCAGCCCGCTCCCCGCGCCGCCGCGGCCCCTTCCAGACCCGCACACGGACCCCGCTCCATACCGCCCGCCCCTCTTAGAAGTCGCCGCAGCCTCCCCGCGCCCCCTGCGGCTCCCGGACGCTGCTGGACAGCACCCAGAGGTCTCCCGTGCGGCCCCGCCCTGCCGGCTGAGGAGAAGCCAGGAGGGCCGGCGAGATTCTAGCTTCGCCGCGTCACTTACACAGACACCCCCTCCGGCCGCTGCCGCCAGAGCCGCCAAAGGCCGAAGCTGACGCTCTCTGGGGGATGTTCGCCCCCAATCGGCTGTTTATAGCTTGGACCCACCCTCTTCCGACCCCCCCCCCCAGGCTTTGCGTCACTTCCTGTCTCACGTAGACCCAAGAGGAGCCCTGGAAATGGACTGCCTGGGGCGAGGGGTGCGCACGCACCGGCACTAGGACCCTCCGCTAGTGTGCGAGGAGGGGCGGGGCGGGGCGGGGCGGGGCGTGGTCGGACAGAAAAGGCGCCAAGACTGCAGGTGCCGGGAGGAGCTGTGGGATCCCCGCGCTGGCTTTCTCCTCGCCGCCTTCCGCTGTGGCGCGCGTCGGCCACAGCCCTGCTACCCGGATCCCGCCGTCTAACCTTGACCGACCTCCAGGCCCTGCAGTGCAAAGGCAAATGGTGTTGGCGTTTACTCCTAAATGTTGGGTACATACACGGAAATAATTCCGTAAAGTGTATATCCTTGTTGGAATATTAGGTAGCCACTAACGCCATATTGTATATATTTTGCAGCCTCTGAAATATTTAGGATAAGCAAAAAGGAAAAAAATTAAAAGCAAAATGCAAATTTGTACATAGGTTGTGTAAAAGCTGCACATGGACCAAGACTGGCACAGTGCTTTGCATAATGTTTAATGCAAGAAGGAATGAAAGGGAAAATAGAAACAAGTGAGATTTATTAGGGGGATAGAACTGTAGATGAACTTTTATGTTCATTGCCATTATTGTTATTACAGAGTTGTGCAGTGTATAACAAACAAAATAGGATTCTTGTCATTTTTTAAACTCTTACCAACATCCACACCCTCTCCCCGCCTCTAGGCGGTAATTTGCAGTCCAGGGAGGGGGATTCGACGATTTTACAAACAGCTACAAAGCAAGAAAAGGATCCAGGGCCGTAAAAGGGTTACAGATAAAGCTCTTTCCAGGTCAGAGCCCCGAGGGACGCAGGACAGTCCTTTAAAATGCAAATCAGTTTCCTGGCTTCGGCCCCGGCTCTTTCCCCTATTCTGCGATATATTACAGGAAATAACACGGGGTTTGCACACCGCCCTTCACTTCGGCCCAGTTCTAAAATCTCTCCCCAGGGAGAAATATTTTTAAATCTTATAAGCAGGAGCTTCGCTGCATCTACAGGGAAAAAGTGAAATCGGCGAATGGGATGGATATGGATTAGCTGTGGAGGGGCTGCCTTGAAATTCAGACAATGGGCCAGCTGAGTCTCTTCTCCCTTTCCTTGACTGCAGGGATCTTTAACAATGCTAGAGTCTAGGTGAAAATCTTATAACCATATATGGAGAAATTGGCTTAGGAGACCACAGTCAGGAGGGAACCTATGAAAATCCAAATTAAAAAATTTACATTCACTGGTGCAGCCACTGCAGAAAACAGTACGAGGGTTCCTCAAAAAATTAAAAATAAAACTACCCTAGGGCCCAGTAATGGCACTACTGGTATTTACCAAAAACTACAAAAACATTAATTCAAGGGGATACATGCACCCCTATGTTTATTGCGGCATTATTTACATTATTTACAATAGCCAAATTATGGAAGCCCCTCAAGTGTCCATTGATAGATAAATGGCTAAAGAAGATGTGGTGTATCTATACAATGGAATACTTTTTAGCCATAAAGAGTGAAATCTTGCCATGTACAACAATATATGTAGAGCTAGAGAGTATAATGCTAAGCAAAATAAGTCAGAGAAAGACAAATACCATCTGATCTCACTCATATGTGGAAGTTAAAATACAAAATGAATGAGCAAAGGAAAAAAGAGAGGGAGAGACACACACACCAAGACTCTTAACTATAGAGAACAAACTGATATTTGGGGGGGCAGGGGATGGGGATTAAAGAGTACACTCACCATGATGAAAAAAATAAAATAAAAAAAGTAACATGAAAAAAATTTACAGTCACTAAAATGAAACAATAAAGAAGACACTTTAAAGAGCATGTCAATTATATTTTTAATTTCACATCTCTTATTAGGAATAATGGAATGTAATTAAATTCCCTTTCCTGTCCCTTTCTCCCTAGAAGCTTTGCAGGATCTCCCTCTTCTGCAGTTTCAAGTAGATGAATATAAATTTCTCTTGCTTGGTTGCAGAATCTATACATTCTGAGAGACAATTCTGCTTTGTCTGGTATTCCAAACAAATGTTCAAATATTTTATTTTTTTAATCTGATCTTCATTGTTGTTGCCATAATTACATAGCTTTATCTCCCACTTCTGGAGACCCAATAATTTGGATGCTTGCAATGAAATAAGTTTTTGGTGACTAACCTTTATTTTTTATTTTTTAAAGATTTCATTTATTTATTTGAGAGAGAGAGAGGCAGCAGAGAGGGAATACATGCAGGGGGAGTGGGAGAAGGAGAAGCAGGCTTCCAGCCCAGCAGAGAGCCCAATACCAGGACCCTGTGATCATGACCTGAGCCAACGGCAGACGCTTAACGACTGAGCCACCCAGGCACCCCAGTAACTAACCTTATTTAAACTATCTGGCAAACTGAAATGACTATTATTCAAGTTCCAACGTTCTTCAGACAGTTACATTAAAGTCACACTAGAACTAAAATTCTTGCAACTTGGGGGAAGGAACATTTTTTCCTCTGTCCTTCTAGGTTCTTTGGCTGGTAAGTTGATATAAAACAGAGTAACGGGAGAAAAGCAAATGTAATTACAGATATATGGGAGCCCCACAAGAATATGAGACCCAAGGACAAGTTGGACAATTGAGGCTTATATGCCATCAGGAGTTAAGTAAGGAATAAGGTGGGGCCTGGGGCTTTCAAACAGAAGACGGTAATTCACAGGACCGTAAGAAGAGCAGATGTTTAGCAATTAAATGTTTGCCCTGCCATACTGATGGGTCATTCAGACAAAATTTATCTCTGGTCATAACTCTTATTCTGGGTAAGACCCCCAGTTTAGATTCTTCATGGTAGTTAGGGGAGGGGCAAACCTTTCTCTTGAGCCTGCAGGTCTTAGTTGCCTTCAGCTCAATGAAATCCACATGCCCAAATAGTATATTTTGGGATCACATATTCTGCTTCCCTTCACATTCTTCCGAAAGGCACACAGAAATCTTTTTTGAGTCATGTATATCAGAATTTTACATAAAGGAAACTGGAGGTGGGAGAGGAACGTACAATGTACTTTCAAAAACAAAAAGCCCTTGAGGTCTGGGGAAAAGAGCACAGAGTTAAGGAATGGGAGTTCTCAAATTTCATGAGCCTGGTATCAGCACTAAAATGGGACTGGGGCGCCTGGGTGGCTCTTGGTTAAGTGACCAACTCTTGATTTCTGCTGAGGTAGTGATCTCAGAGTTGTGGGGTTGAGCCCCATGTCAGACTCCGTGATCAGCAGGGAGTCTACTTCTCTCCCTCTCCCTCTGCCCCTCCCCTGCTGTCTCTCTCTCTCTCTCTCTCTCTCTCTAATAAATAAATAAATCTTTAAAACGGGATTAAAAATACCTGCATTGCAGAGTTTCTGTGGGTTTAAATGCAGTAAGACAATTGCAAGCTCCTAAAAAAACACAGTAAACTGGCACATAGTAGAGACACTGGTCAGCACTGGTTGAGTCAGGTGGGTGGGATGGAGCAGAGTCAGGCAGGAAAGTAACATGGAAGATGTCTGCAGACCAATATAGGATTTTAGGTTAATGAAGAAGAAATAAGGCCTTCACCCTAGGAGAATGGCTTGCCTGAAGACTCCGAAGTGAGGATGAGCCTATGGCATACCATAGTTTAAAGATCCTACTCTACAGAAATACCTGACAGTTACTTCCAGGGAATTATTGGTGGAAGAAGGGGTACAGGAGTCATCAGCTGGAAAATTCTCCCCCTTTCCCTTTTTTCTTCACTTTTTAGATAAAAGCCAAAGTTTTGTTCTTTGGTAAAGGAGAAATTGCAGGAAAAAACAAACCAGAAAGCCATCCCAGCCTAGAAGTCAGCAACTGGCCTCAGAGTGGTTACCAATCGTGATGCAGAGACATGCGCTTAATGGCTCCATGCCTCAGTTTCCCCATTGGCCACATGGAGATAACACCCTTTTATTTCCTTCACCAGTGAAGGAAAAAGTGGAAAAGTTCCTTAAACCACATGGTTATGCAAATACAGGTGCTGCTATTTCAAAGCCCAAGCCAAGTGAGTAAATGTGGCCAGAGGGGGAGAAGCCTGGAAATGGTAAAGTTCTAAGTAACTATTGCTTAAGAAAAGGAAAACTGTCTTTAACGGCTTTCAAGGCCCTGATTCCAGGAAAAAAAAAAAAAAAAGACTCATTACTGATAATGGCTGAGACGAAAAGGTAATTAATTGCCATCATTATTAACATTTATTGTAGTAGTGTTGTGGGTTAGGCAAAGGCATGTAGGCAGATATGAAGCAAATCTATACCCCTGAAAAGACAAAGTAGCTGGGGAAACAGAATTTATACTTAAAGGATGGAGAACAAGGATGCAAATGTTAAATACAAGCAAAAATAAAAGCAAGCTGGGTACTGTGACAGCCACATGTCCAGACCTGAAAAGTTATATAAAGCTTTGGTGTGTCCACTAGGGCACACCTGTGGTTCTCTAAATCCTGTTCCAAATTATATGCCTATTTAGATTCAAGTTAATTTTTATGCTTAAATGTTTTTTAATAATCTATTTTCAATGCAAAAGTACAATGCATGTAAACACATTCTCCTCTGTAAGTCAGGCACAGATGCAAGAGGGAGCCTAGGCTGCTTGGCCCAGTAGATTAAAGTCAAAACATAAACCTCTCACCTTAGTTACAGACCAGGATGCTAGAAGGGGGAAAAAAAAAAAAAGGTGAGTAGGTGAGGGGGGGAGGCATTGTAAACCCAAACCTACAAGATGATGCAAATTGGAGGTGGGAGGTTTTTAGTTTTAGTATTTTGTGTCTTCCATTTAAAAACTTTGATCTGGGGGCGCCTGGGTGGCTCAGTTGGTTAAGCGACTGCCTTCGGCTCAGGTCATGATCCTGGAGTCCCGGGATCGAGTCCCGCATCGGGCTCCCTGCTTGGCAGGGAGTCTGCTTCTCCCTCTGACCCTCTTCCCTCTCGTGCTTTCTATCTCTCATTCTCTCTCTCTCTCAAATAAATAAATAAAAAATCTTTAAAAAAAAAAACAAACTTTGATCTGTTTATGTTATGTATATTTTGTCACAATTTTTTTTAAAAAACCACATTAATATGCCAACTCGGTAATAGTAGATCCAAAACCATTTGCTCTTTCTGGGGTCCGATCTATGGTCCAAATGCTAAATGGGTCTATTAGGGTCAAATATTTTTGATGGCACTCGATGGTAAAACATCCATTTTACTTCACAACTCAGTATACGTGTGTGTATATATATGTGGTGTATTCACATGAAATAAGAGTTTCATGAAATAATATCTTTGCTAGTGCAAAACACTCTGGAATTTTCCATTTAATTTTTAAAATGCTGATTTCAACCCATGAAATTGATTTCTCAATGGGCTGTGACCTGTGTTGGAAAACCAAAGTCGGAGGCCATGTCTTGTCTCAGAGCACAAGTCTTGTTAGTGAACAGGACAAATGACTTGTTCAAAGTTAAATTTCAACTCCCAAGGTTTCTCCCTGTTACTTTGCCCACTGTTTCAACTTTCTACCACCCTACACTTCAGCAAATATTGATTGAAGTTTTATGAGTTGGGAGGCAGAGTTAGAAAACACAGATAACATCTTTTCAAATGCTTTCAAATCTGGCACACACTTTGGTCAATCACTGCAGAACTCTGCCTGTCACGTAGTAGGTCCTCACAGCAGCCACCCCAGAAGCCACTGGAACCTACATTCGACTCTGACCACAACTCCTATTTGACAAACTG